TTTGCTGTTCTGTATTGCTGCCATCAAATCTGCTAAGCTGTAGTTTGATTTTCCGCCTCTCGTTTCCATCTTCTCTTTTTTTTCCATCCCACTCTCTGACACCAATTTGTTACGTCTCCGTTAGTTAATTAATTTTCCGTAAATTCGTTTCGACGAAACTTTAGCGACACAAGTCCTTTCTTAAATAAAACTGGTTTATTCCTTCCGAATACAACTTTACCGATACACTTAATTTCAACAGTCGCTCTATAACAACGCTATAATTCTCAAAGAACGTTTCACGTGCTCGAGTTCAATTACATACTCTCTGACTGCAGTTCAATTGCTCATTACTTACACATTGTCCCGTCACGCCGTGACCATCTTATATATACAAGCCCACTCCCGAAGGAACAGGATATTTCTAGAAAACGGGTGACGTGATACTAGTCACGTGACCTTGCTGACGCAACAATAGTAAAGTGATTTCATAGCACAAAGTCAACATTTGGAGTAATTTTTTAATTTCTCTATATGTTAAATGAAACAAAATGAAAAATATACATGAATAAAATAAATATTCTTGAATTTTTAGAGATTTAAAGGGTTAGGGCCAATTTAGGCCATTCAGACCCATTTTAGGTCCACAAAAATCTAGTAGACATAATTGAACATAGAACAAATATGTTCATGTATTTATGATGAAATCGAATGAATGAAACCGGAAAGAATAAAACATTGATTTCTTAGACCAAAAAGGCCTGACTAGGGTAGGGTATAAAATGGGCCACTTAGAACCAATTGCGAAATCACGAACAATGATTTTCGAATTCCTAAATAAAATAGCTTTATATATATATATATATATGTTGGCTCGTTGTACTAAAAATATCAGACATTTTCGACTTCCTCACTATTACGGTATAAGTTACTAGCGGAAGAGGTTTCTACACTTTGACTTGCACTTGTAGAAGCGGACTTATCGTACACGTTAGTCTTCGTCTTCATTTTTAAAAATCGTTGTTTGGTCTCGGAGACGCGCGTAACGACCATGCGTACTTAACTGTAGTCTTCGGTCTTGTAGTTGGATTTTTCTAAATCGAGTCGATTTGAAAATGAAAAGTTCATTTTTTTCGCCTTTTGAAAATGAAGGTTCTCTGTGTCAAAACTCCTCAGGAAGGTCTTCTATATGCTAGTGAAACAATAGCTCGTCCGTAGTACTGTAGCCTTATAGAGTGATGGTTGTAACTGTTTTTTTCCTCCCAAAAATAACGCTTGTAATGGTTTTTCGAACGAGCCAAGAGAAGGTACGTTTATCTTACTCAATCAACAAACTCGTAAATCGTTGTAGAGTGTTCTATATCTTACATTATTTAATGAAAATAATGTGAAGTCCAGTTCACGATAACAAATTAGTTTCTTTCTTTCTTGAGCCAGTGTTGAGTTCAGAGGTGTACAGGGGATCTCCCCCGTGCAAACCCCTCTATGGAGTCAAGTATTTTAATTAAAGTACATTATTTTCCATTTTGTCGAATTTGAATTGCAATTCATTCTCCCAGCTACCACATTCCCCTCCCTTCCCAGTAGAAAGGGCTGGTTCCAACCTTGCTTTGAGCTACAGACTGATCTCACTTGTACACAGTTTTAAGCCCTGATTCTGAAATAACGTTTACAGTTTCAACAGGAATTTGTTCGCTAATGGTAGTACGATTCACGTACAAATAAACTTACTTGTACAGTTTTATTTTACGGCTAATCAAGCGAGTAACCGAATATACGCGATAATTAACACTGATTAAATACTTCAATAACTTTTTAATCTGAAAACTGACTGACACTCTACTAATTGAGAACTAACTCAATGCTTCACTGATTCTCGTAGTGATTTTGTACCTTTATTTTTCAATATTTCATAACATCTCTAGGTCATTAACATTTACGAACGTTCTGGATTCTAGGTCTATTATAAATTTACTTTGTCGTAACGTCATGCAACCTTTAACAAATATGTTTACGCAATATTCAAACTTCACGTTCAAACCAGTGAGTAAGCCAGAATGACATCGAAACTACATTGATGTAGAGGAAGCAAGTTGCAAAGTAGGCATAGTTGAATTTTTTATTTTCATAAATAACATCAAAAACATTTTGAAAGTTGTTATATTAAATTGTGATATTTCCTGCAACCGACTTATTACAACTGATGTATTCTGTATCTCTAATAAATTATCGAGTCTTTGTTTTTCTATAATTATATTAGTCATCTAGCAATCTCAAAATAACAAGTTAAAATGCCAATGCACAATAGTGTCCGAACATATTTAAACAGGCATTAAAGTGAAGAAATTATTTAAGGATGATAACATAATGAGCACAAAGCTATACAATGGGCGATCTGTGTTGTGCCCATCACAGGTATTGAAACTCAGTTTTTAGAGTTATAAGCTTTCAGATTTACCGCTAGCCACTGTGGTAGGGTGTAATGTTCGTTTGTCGTAGAGCAAAACTACACAATAGGCTATTTGGGCTCTGTCCACTGTGGAGAGTCGAACCCCTGATTTTAGCATTGTAAGTCTGTAAACTTATCGCTGTCCAGGGGTGAAATTCTAAAAAAAAAGTAGAGGTATTCATCTGGGTGAAGTAGACCTATTTTTTAAAAAGGAAAACAATCTACGTCTAAAGATATAAAACGACAAAGCAGCTCAAATAAGTCACCGCCTTAAAAAAAAAAGTATCGGCAGAATTTCACCCCTGCCGTTCACCTAGTGGGGGACTTATAATGTGTGGAAACCTGCACATGTAAACTTTAAAAGAAAACTGGGAGGGTAAAATGATAATTAGAATATTGAACTTTGCATGATAAAAAGTAACACGAAATATAAAAATTTTATATCATTATTTATTAAACTCTGTCTTCAATTTAGTTGAGGAAATACTCGCCGTATATTGACAACCCCACATTGGGTATAAAATGGTTAATGAATAATAAACCTTTTTTTATTTATTTAATTTAACACGTAATGAACACTGCACGTGTATTCTATATTTTTAATCAAAATGTGAATATTGTTATATTCACAACAATTAACTACTATTTTCAACGACGTGACCTTTGTTGATTTGACCGCCATTTTGGCTGAGGTGTAATTCGAAGTTTCGTCTTGTGTGTGATTCGGCAAATAATTTTCCGTTTTAGTTAATTATATCACTGACTTAACAAATGTTGTAGGTATTGACGTTGTACATGAGGAGGTTTGATTGAGACCGAAAAGGAGAAATATAAATTGATTTTAAAAGAATAATTATAACTTTTCAGGTGAGATTAAGAAGGATTTATGTCAAGTTGTGGTACGTGGTGGTGTAGTACTACTTCTACTACTAGTTTTGTATGTAACATATTAGAAATAGTAGTACTACTTTCATTTACCAACTTATTATTACTAAGCTTACTTTTACTAGTTGTAGTAGTGTAACTGTAACTTATAAGCTACAGCACCACCTCGTAATCAGTTAATTGTAAGACTAGTAGTACTATTACTAAAACTGAGTATTACTATTAGTACTAGTACTTTTTTTTTTTACTTTACATTTTGTCACATGCAGTATGTACATATCAATAAAAAATAAGTATGAAAATAAAGAAGTTTCCACGAAGCTTGATCAGCTTATTTGTGGAAACTCCTTAATAACTGTGACCAAAAATTTCTCTATTTATTAATAAATATAAATAAACAAAACACAAAAAGGCGAAATTGGTATAAGAAGTCTTTCTTTATCATCATTTTATATTAACTTATATCTGAAATCAACAACTTATTGAACATAACACAAAAATATAATATCCTGTAAAGCTATTGTACGTTTATCACAAACAAGCAATAACATAGATAATAAAAAAGTTAAATTAACGAAAATATTAATCCTACATACATAAAGTACCATTCAATGAATATTAATCAGTTTGTCTATGAATGCCAGTTAATAACCAATCTTGATCTATTTTTTAAATCAGTAATTGTATTTATATTTCATAACTCCCTGGGGAGTTGGTTCATTATATATGGTATTTTATACTCTTTTTTTTTTTACTCTTGTTCCATAGTTAGTATTGTAGTTTGGTATTGCATAATACTTATTTTCTAATGTTCTAGTATTATACATATGATTTTTTAGTACTTTATGATTTAAACTGTAATAGAAATTCAAAATTATAATGTATTTATAAATTGCATTTACATCAAATAACCGATTTCTTATAATTTCATTTGTAACATTTGCATTAAGTTCATCACTTTTGTTTAAGATAATTCTTTTTGGAATTATATATTTTTTAAGTGAATGTTACTTGTTGAACCATATATATACTTATATATATATATTTATAATTAGTCCTAAGTATAAAATATTTGTATATTGTGAGTGAAATATCATAGTTTTTGTTTTATCAGTATTCGTTTATATTGAGCTAATACCTTAATTTATTGAAATCAACTTGTAAAATTTCTTTGCCAACTTCCATATCAACATGAGTTGCAGTTAAAGCTGTATTATTTGCATATCGATATATTTTACTCTTTGGACTTGTATTTACAATATTATTAATATATAAACTATATAGTAGTGGACCCAAAATAGAACCTTGTGGAACACCATATTTTATAGTCATTGGATCACTCATTATTTCTCCAATTCTTGTTATTGGAACCCTATTGCTCAAATAATTCTTGAACCAGTTTTATAACTTTCCCCTTATACTTTACATCATTTGAAAAGTTTTATAATAGTAATGTGCTGCTTTTATTTTTGATAAATCCATATTGACATTTGTTTATAATGTTATTTCTTTCAATAAAATCCAACATTTTGTTGTGTATGTACCTTTCAATTATTTATTTAATCATGGGTAAAATGGAAATTGGTCTATAATTATTGAAATCTTTTTTTTTCCTGACTTATAAATAGGTTTTTTTCATTGATATTTTAAGTCCATCAGGTTTTTTCCCTTCTTCATAAATTAAGTTTAATAGGCATGTTATAACCTTTGCTAATAAATTAATACATGGTTTTATGTATCTTGCATACCATCAATTCCTGGTCCTTTGTTAATATCCATTAAATTTACTATGTTAATAAGTTCTGTTATTGGAGGGAAATAAATTGTATTAGTCTGTGAGATTACACTCTGAAGATAATGTTTTCTATTTGCAACATAATTATTATTATTTTCATTATTATAATTACTTTTCAGAGTATTTATCTTATTTGTAGTATTTATATTTGTACTGATAAAATTTTGCTCTATTTTTCTTCAAGTGATTCATCACTAACATGATTATTTACTAATTCATTAATGCATTTTCATGTTTCTTTCATTTTACCCTTGACATTAACCTTGATGCTGTGTGTTTCTCTTTCTTATTTTAATCTGAAATGATTTTTTAATTTTAATTCAATTTAATTTAACACACAAACCAGTTTTTTATACATTTTCTCAGGATCTCTTAACCTTAAGAACTCTTCCCAGTTCTAGCTATTTATATAATTTATAACACTATTTATTTTAATTTTATTAAACACTTAAACATTTTCTATGCTCTTTTTCATAGTTTGCTTTACTTTCTTTAAACTGCTTTTGAAATTAACCAAAATAATCCCATGATCTGATATTTTTTCTTTGATCACATAACTTTTTACATTTACACCTGTAACTGTTTTATACACATGATCTAAACAAGATTTAACCAACTTTCTACTTCTCCATTCTGATCTTGTGTTAATATTGATATTTTGTTGAAATCCATTAAAATGTAACAAGATTTGATAGTCATTGACCAGATTATTATTTTCATTATTTGTTTTCTTTAATATTCATATTTAAATAATCGAAAATTGTTTGATGTGAGTAGAGCTTCGTAAGGGTAAAAATGTATCATGAAATCAGAAACACCCTAAATTTAATTTTACTTGTGAAACTGAAAAAATGGTAAAATACCTTTTCTTGATATCTAAATCAGCGGATTTGTTAACCATTTCATAACATGTTTATCATAAAAAAAAAACATATACAGGCTTACATACTTGATTTTACAGTTTTATTTCAAGTTACTTTAAATGTAACCTTATACTTAGTCTTCTCAGTAGAGAGTATAACTTCTGTTCTAACTACCTATCTCTTCATGCCGAAATCACCACCTTATAGAACATTTTAATAAACAATGGTAATCCCTTGCATTTTATTCAAGCTCTGATATGCAAGTTCCTTTCTCACAAATTTGAATCCTGAAAGAAACAATACACTGTTGATACATAACAATTAAGACTGATCATTCCTTTTTTAGGTAAGCAAAGTTTCATAGTGAAGTCACAAATTTTAAGAATAATTAAAACATGTTATCCACAAGTTAAACTACAAATGATATTTAAACCATCATTCAAAATACAAAATCTATTCTGATCTAAATATCTATTACCTATCCCTATGTTTTCCAGGATCATATATAAATACATATTTGGTGGCTGTAATGCCACATACATTGGCAAAACTATATGCTAATTACACCTGCGAGCCTGCAAACATATGGGAGTATCAAGCAGAACTGGTAAAAAAAACTATGAAATCTATCAGACTCCACATTTTGCACATATAGTGAAAACAACAACCACCCCATCTTGATTATGAATTTCAAAGTCATCTCATTTGGATCATTCAGTATTGAACTTTTAATTAAAGAAAGTGTATCTATTATAAATGAATTCCTAACTTTAAATAATAACACAACTTCACTACAATTAAGTCTGTTCTGAATATTTGTATAATATTGTTGCATTATCATATTCTTTGTTTATTTGATTGTCTCTTAATTTATTTCATCCTTTTATTCTGTATTTTAATTACTTTTTATAAAATGTTTAAACTTTATAAATATTTGTACCTAATAATTTATCCTTTTTGATATAGCTTGCTGAAGATGGAATATGTATATTCTGAAATGTTCAAGAATTAAATGTTTGTTACTGTACACACATACATGTCAAATGTTCATTGTTGCTGCCGTCATTTGAATAAAGTCAATTTCAATTAAACTACATGCAAGTTAGGGTTAAGGAAATTTGCAGTAGAGTATACACTCAAGATATTGATTTTTGTTATTTTAGGTTTTAATGTTTTATATGTAGGTTAAACATTTATTGCATTGATAAACTTGCCAACTTTTTTTGTCATTTTTAACCTATTGAAATTCTGTGATAATGGTAAATACTAAGTAGAGAAGTAGCTCTGGAAAAAGGTTGAACTAAAAGTTAAAGATATCTTTATAATTTATAAAAATAATATTAGATTCTGAATTGTAAAGGCTAAAAAATAATAATATTGGAAGTGTTTGAAAGTTTCAACTGCTATTTGTACCATGAGCTGCTGTTGAAAGTTTAAGAGAAAATCTCTTAAAGTTTACACTATAAACAAAATTCATTATTTAGAATTTTTACAGAACAGTGACAGTGGCTTGAACTTTTAGATAATTGATACATATTCAAAATGAAAAACATTTACTTGTAACTTTTAAAATGTAACTGATAAGCTAAAAAAAAGAAAAAACTTATTGTAATACTAACAGCCAATAGTAATAAATAATTGGAACTCTACTTACACTGATATGTAGTTTTCAACTGGATATAAGTTTTGGGCTAGATTTTAACAGTTAAAACTCAATAGGTTATTGAAATGATACACTATACTTAATTTTATGGAGTATTATATTTCTAATGTACAATGCTGAATTGACACATTGTTTTGGGTTTTTAGATCTGCTTCATCCAACACAGTCATAAGGCCTATTCTAATTAATGAAACCTGTACTTTAACCATTATTGAAGATAGCAATAAGCTAACTTCTTAATCTCTTCATAGGTATTTTTTGTTTGGCTTACAGTTATTTTATATCTTTTTGTCAGGATATCAACTGTTATATTACAATAATTTGTCAGCCTAATAGTACAGAATGTTGAAATTGGATATAGCTCTCACATTATGGACCATTTAATTTGTAGAAAACAAATGACCACAAATTTTTGCCAAAGGTAAACACACAATTAAAGTAACATTCAAGGAATATTTAATGAACTGTTTAAATTAAAACCTTCATTATATTACCAGAATTTTTTTATATTTAGTATTTTTTTCAAAGCAGAATACAGTAAATAGTAGATCAGTAAAAAAAAATAAACAATTTTATTATTTACATCTATCACTTTGGAAGAGTTCTATCATCTTTGAAAAAAGAGAGGGAGAGAACATTCTAGCTTAAGTGTTACTGGACAATTCTTAAAACTGCATTGTAAGATTATCCAGTATTATTGAGATACCCTATTTTCATGCAAATAACCAGCAGGCTATATGTTAAATTAGTTCGCAAAAATGCCAACTGTGGGGTATAATTGTTTGCGGGTAATATAGTATTTTTTTTTTTTTTGTTTTTAAGACTGAAATCACTAATTTTCTATCCCAAATATTTGTTTATGTTGCTCTTGTTCTTGTTCAACACGTGGAGCGATTCATCAATCGGCTAAGAAGTATGTCTGTTAGCAATGTGGAGGACATGTCCTGATTGGTGGAAAACTTCCTGAAGATTCAACTATTGGTAGCCACAGGCTACTCACCTCTAATCTGGAATCTCTGTTTAGTGAAGTTTATTGTGTTACCATAATGTAAAAGGATTCTTTAATTTTTCTTGTCTTCCAAAATTTGTCTGTATCACTGGCTTGTGGGTTATACACATGTGCAGATAATATGTGCCTAAAAGTTTCTTAGAGCTCTTTTTTCCTCAGGTGTGGGGCATACCAGCGGTGGGATATTTATTTAAAAATATGACAGTATTCATTAATATATACATTGAAGAACTTGACAAGAAAGTTGTTATAGGAGGATTTGTTTTATTTTGAGAAAAGAAGAGTTACAGGGGATCTGATTGAGGTGTTTAAGATTGTTAAAAGAATTGATAGTGTTGATTCATGATAATTTTGTTTTTGTACTTAATGGTGAGAATGGTAAGACTAGGAGACATGAATATAAATTTTGGCAAGGTTGGTATTTATTTTCAATTAAGGCAGTATTATTTTTCTAACAGAGTTGTTGATATTTGGAATAGGTTGCTTTCAGGTATGTTGAATGCGGTAAATTTAAAGGTGTTTAATGTTGCTTCTGTTTTCAAAGGAGGTGTTAAAATTGTCCTGTTAATAATAGTTCTATTTATCTTACATCAGTGGTGGTCAAATTTTTTGATAAAGATGCTTTGCAAAGTCATTTAACAAAGTTTAAATTTTGTTGAATTGTAAAAATGATTTCACTTGGAAAAAAATCCTTACTTTGACATTCTTTGAAGAGGTTACTGCTTTAAAAGATGAGGGTAAGGGCATGGATTTGGTTTATCATGGTTTTCAGAAAGCATTTGACAAGGTGCCAGCCACATAAAGTGACTTGCATTTCACTCAGTGCTCTGTTTTTTACAGTGTATATAGATTAAGCTTTTTCACGGTAGTAGTTAATTCTCAGTATATGGATTGACTTTTTTTGTGATAAGTGATCATGCCACACAACAAACTTTTAAAAACATAGACATGATTAAGCTTTATCATGATAGTTGCTTAATTTAAATACCTGGACTGACCACTGTTCATGATATTTCATGTGTCAAACTGCAGGTTGTTTAGAATATATTTACAATTAAGCTTCATCAAGACAGCATCTAATTCTGAATAGATGGAGTGACTCATTTTCATAATAATTCATGATTCATCATGCCACACTGCACATTGTTGAGACCATATATACACATTTAAGCTTCATTATGATAGCAGCTGTAATCATTCTTCATGATAATTCATTATTTGAAACTGCAAGCTGTTTAGAACATACATGATAACAGCTAATTCTCAATACACACTGACCCTTTTTTGTGATAATTCAACATGCCACATTACAAGCTGTTTAGAACATATGCATGAGTGTAAAGTTGGGTGGTTAGTAGTATTTGCCATCTGATTAATCGACTTGCTCATTAAATGATTACATTCAGTTAATTAGTTAGTACACGCGCCCTACAATCCATAAAGCAAAAAAAAAAAAATATAGGTAAGTGCTATTTTAATTTTTTTAATCACTGCATCTTTCTAACATAGTATTAACCTTACTATTTTCATTCACATTGTTTTGATAATTTTTGAGTGACACATGTATACATGTGATAGACCTCTTACAAGTAACATTTTTTATTATCCCAAAAATTGTTTTGTCACAAGTTTTATGGACATTTCATACGTAGCAAAGGAATCACTAATGTTGACTAAATACCACTGCATGGTTGTCATTATTGTTTTTCAAATATTCAGTAATTGCACGCTGATATTCTGTAAGTCAAGTAAGATGATAATTAAATTGTGAAAATATGTTCTACTATTACTGATAAGGGCTGGCAATTAATGATATTTACTTATCAATTAATAAACAAACGAGTTAATAGATTACATTCAATGAATCAAGTAGTATGAGCCCACCTCCATACAAACAAAACAGGAATGGAATTGTGCTAGTTTCATAACTTTTTCAACCACTGCATTATTCTAACAATATTTTTCTTCCTATTTTCATTCATCTTTTGTTTTTTTAAATACCTTACAAACTGCTTATGGTTTCATATTATAGACCTCTTCTGGAGGTTATAATTTATGCATTGTGCCACAATTTATTTATTTTTTAATGTGGACATTTTCTGCTGGGTAGATGAATCATTTATGTTGACAAAATACCATGCATATGTCATTACACTTGTTTTAAAACTATGCAATAATTGCCCACTGTTCTTCTCTAAATCAAATGACTTGAAAATTAAATAATGAAAACATGTTTTTTGATAGAATATCTTACCTCTCTCACAAAAAGCTTTCTGAACTTGCACTGCCCTCTATTGGTACATATTTTTGGTTGTCATTAACCTTGATACTCCCACTTATTTTTGCATACTAATATGCAAATGATTATGTATCAACCCTCCACTAATAGGAATGTGAGACTACCCTTATTGGAACTAGTGCCCTCTCTAATCTTGCAGGTGTTAACCACTTCTTGATTGGCAGTCCAATTGAATAAATAGTTTGATTCACTTATCCACATCTATTTACTTTCTTAATTTTGCTATTTTAATTACGTTCTTTACTGTTTTTGTTTTCTTTCGTGGAAAGTTGCAAATTTATTTTCTCTCCTTTTCATTTTCATGAGTTATGCACTCGCAGTTTCAAGTGGTCATGACTACAACTGCTGCAGCCCATCCATGTCCACCTGATTGATTTCAGGTGCCTTTGTTTCCACCTTTCTATCGACATATGGCTGCTTCTTGCCTTCTCACAAGATGACTCAGTCCTATATCTTAGTTTCTTCTCCAAGTCACTGTCATAGTGGGTTACTGGTCAAAGTGGAATGATTTTTGGTTTACCTTGGGGTGTTTTCCCACTCCCTCCTCGGTCGAGCCCTACCTGCTCCACTTCAGTTGCGAGCTATGGAATTTCTCGTATGAGCATTTCATCCTCTCCTTCTCCTACTTAGAGAAGGTCTCTCTCTCTCTTTTGAGGAAATGGGCTTATCCTGAAGCTCTTATTCCTGTTGGTCATGACCTCATGACTCATCATCAGTGGGTTTTATTAGACCAATGGAGTCTTGTTTGGAATCCTTTAGATGCTCCTCTTACCATTTTCCCTCCCTCACAGACCAACTTCAACTTTTGGTTGGATCGGAACAATTCTACTGTGGGTGTTCCTCTTCCTCCTCATCCAGAATGTAACCTTTTACAGATGCTTCTGTTTCTGGTTGATGGGTGTATCTCGACACTCAGGAGGTTTTGGGCTGAAGGTCTCTTTCTGAGTTCTCTCTCCATATCAATCTTGGAACACTCCTCCATCAGCAACACTCAGGCATGCATTTGTCAGTACCTGCATTCTATCTTCACATGTGACTTGGTCCAGTCCCCCGCCTAAAGGGCCGGATTATTGTGTGTAGCTTCCTTTGTTTTCCATACTTTCTTTCTTTCTCCATGGCAGTTTAGCTATGTACGTGGAACATTTACTGCTCTTAGACTGTCCTAAGGGGTTATAGTCCTTCCCATCCTACGGTTCCTCACATATCATCCTTTTTGAATGGGGCCTTTTGATTTCCACTTGTTGTGGGCTTTTTGGTTTACTGCTTTTGCTTGTGTTTTCCAGTTGCCAGTCTTATCCATGTTGTTTTGTTCCTTTCATTTTTCCCACTTTCTCTGCCCTGCTTGATTTCTGGATTAGCACCTCTATGCTCTATGTGGTCCTCCATATTTTTTCCCTGTCTTCCATTGGACCTATAGTCTTCATGTTCTTGAAATCACTTTTCCTTGCTATCCCTATTCCTATTTCTATCCCATTTCCATCTTCCTTTGGAGGACATCATCAGTTCTGTAACTGTTTATCTATGGGTGGTAAATACTTTGTTCTTTTTCTTTGCAGGGGCTTTTACTGAGTTTGAATTTGCCTGCTATTTTTCTTCCTTTTCTTCTGATGATTTTCACCTTTTTTTCATGTTTTTCTTCTCTACAGATCCATCACCTTACCATGTCCTTGGCTGCACATTTCCATCTTCACTGGGGGACATCATCAGTTCTGAAACTGTTTATCTGTGGATGGTAAATGCTCTGTTAATTTTCTTTTTCTTTGCAGGGGCCTTTATTGCATAATCTGATCCTACTCTGTGGTGAGTGTTGCCTGACCAGGTATACTTAGTCTTAAATCCACTGTGATGTTGAGGATCTTCCTACCATGAACCTAATGTACAGTTACAGACCCTGCTTCGGGTGTTGGTTGATCATCTTCATGTGTATCATGGTCATCCATTGCACTGTCTCCTGTGCTGTGGTCCTCTGGACTATCCAATGTATCTTTTCCCTCCTTCTAGTGGAGTATGGGTCTGCCACTTACTAGTTCCTAGCTGCTGGGGTGGTGGACCATGGTGGCCTATCCTCCTGAGTGTGCACAATACCACTTAGTTGAGTGTAGGGTGGTGGCATTCTGCTGGTGTAGATGGCATAAAGCATTTCCTACTGCAGTTCTGATGTATAATTCCAGATGCTGCAAGGTGTTGGATCTAGCACTCCATCATATATTGCAGTTTGCGTCCCTGGCTGAGGCACCCTCCTTCCTACCATCTGCTAGATGTTGGTTCTCGGGGATTGGGTGTTGGTTGAAGTCGGACCAGCCACATAAGTCCTGATTTGTTACCGTCCTCCTCCTTCCTTCCATTTGCTAGATGTTGGTTCCCAGTGGATCTGGTGTTGGTTGTAGCTGGGTGAAACACATGAATTCCTGTATGTATAAGGCTGGATACCCTCCTCATACCACAGACTGGATGAAACATTTTCAATGCCACTAGGTTTTGGACTTGAGAGGAACATCAACATGGGCTCTCCACCTTCATAATATCTGCCAGATGTTGGTTTCTGGGGGATTTGGTGTTGGTTGTGTTTGAGGTTTGCACATGCAGAGGCAGGTTCTTGGTACAGAAGCTCCTCTTCCCTGCTGCTACTCATTTTTGAGGTGAAAGGTAGAGGGCCCACTTTCTACCATGGACCTGATGTACAATTCCAGATGCTGCCAGGTATTGGTTG